CCCCAAAACCCCAAAACCCCAAAACCCCGTGATTGAGGCAGTTATATATTATGTATATAGATATATTCCAAAGCTTAAATACATTTAATGTTTGAAAAATAGTCTAGTGAGTGTTCATACTTACTTATGATCATTATTACTAAGTAGAATATTATTTCAAGATGTCTGCCTGAGAAATTGACCTCTTATCTTTCTGTATATTGAGGTCAATATCTACTCTCCTGGGCTTGAGTTGGTTTTCTTACTTTTTACTTGCATCCTGCCTCATTTTTTTAATGTACTTGGCGATGTCTTTAAGAGTACGGTCGAAAGACTCTCGCTTTTTGTTGCTCTTAGAGAGTTTAAAATTGGGATCTAGGATGTTCATCTTTTCAAGGTTATAACAAGGAGTCTATGGATTTTGGAATATTTTAGAGCTCTCATTGTGTTCATTACTATGGAAGGAAGAGGTAGAATGGACCTTTATAAAAGAGTTGCGTTGACTATGCTTGTTAGGTGGTAAGTTCAAATCGAAGGTGAATTATTGATTAGCTTTCAAAGGTTGAGAAGTCTACTAATTCGACTGAATTAAAGCTGAATACTCGTAATCATTATTATTGGGCACATTTTGTGTTATGATCTATTGCTAGGACTTGTTTTGTAATAGCACCCTCTTAAGTTAGTTGAGTTGTTCTTCAGGTCTTTGGTAAGGATTTACCTTGACTTCTGGATTAATCCTCTAAAAAATAATTTAATTTGATTAATTACCAGAATGAGATCAGAACTCAGTCTCTGTTTTTGAACTGAGCCATGTCTAATTGTTTTGGACTATCTAAAGGTCAAGCTTTTTTGTTAAACGAATCTGTTGAAATTAAGGTAATCAATAAGTTAGCTGTTTTTATCTGAGACCACTGCATCATTATTCATCGCTGTCTCCATATTCTAATTACTCAACTCAGACGTTCTTCGTTTAGGACTCTTAGAAAATTATTGTGACTTCCTGTCCTTAAAAAAACCTTATTTTTAGATTTCCTAGGGAGATCTGACAGTAAGAGGTCCCTCGGCAAAGGCTTCTTCTGAGTCATACCTAAAAAAGAACTTCGATCTGCCTTTAGACCTTATCCTTCTTCTGCAATCACCAATCATCACTGCATTATTTGAAATGATGCACTAATCAATCTTCTAAAGTACCAGTCTTTAGTGAATAACTCTAAAGGTGCATGTTAATTCCTTAACATAGCATAAGATCTGCTATTCAAGAGTCTTAATCATACTCTTGCTAATCAAAGCAGTTTGCTCTCTCAGAGATTTCAATAGCACAGGGTCATCAATCGCAAGTAGGTTGTAATTGAAACTGAAAGATTCCCCATTACAATCTTTTTTTTCTCTGCGATAAATCAGTTCTATGGAGGGTTCGTCAGGACTGATGTATTATTGAATGAACATCAAATATTAGTCGAAGGTGGCATTCACATACTATCCCTTGATCGTCATTAGGAGTTAGTTTTCATCGAGGTACTTAACTTAGTTATTACTGTAGTGAGCTACTGCTATTATTTTTTTACTTGAAAAGTCATTAGTATTTATAAGGTTTTTATTTTGATATTAATCTTTGCTCAAGAACCTATTCGCACTCACCTTAAACATTTATGGTTTATCTCTACCGTAAACATTTTTAACGATACTCGCTTTGAAACTAGGAGAGAATGATTGAACGACGTTATATAGCTATTAGTTTTCATCCATGAATTCCTGGACCACTTACTTAGGTCTGAGGCCCTCCAAAATTTGGATAGAGTTTGCTGAGGAATTCGACTTAAATAATTAGAGTATTTGTGAGCTGAAAATTGCGTTTTGTTATACGTCAGTTATCGATTCCATCTATGATATCTGCTGCAAACAAGTGCGCTAATCCAAAAGGGGTTTGATGAAGCGCACAGTGTTCAAGATTTGCAAGTAATTGACTTTAACTAATATATGAAGTAGCTCGTTAAATTGGAGCTGGTTTCTGGACTTTTTGTATACTAGTTCCATTTAAGTTAAAATTATTTAATCCAAGCATCATGAATGATTAGAAGTCTATATTACTTTTTTACTTTAATATTTCGAATAAATTCAAAATTTGATGCAAGCGGGGTTTTGGGGTTTTGGGGTTTTGGGG